GACGGAGTAAGCTGGCAGTCCTTCCTGGCGGACCTGGCCGAGTGCTACAAGCAAGGCTCCTCAGCCGACCACCTTCCAGCCGTGTCCTCTGGGACGCAGTATCTCGACTTCTCCGTCGCCCAAGCCAGCAACCTCCTGCCTACTCCTTCAGCGGCGTTCAAGGAACGTCTGGACTACTGGAAATCAGAGTTTCCCCTCGGCATCCCACCGCCCATGTCGCTCCTCCCTTTTGCGAGGACGCGCACTCGGAAGGTCGTGACCGAGTACAAGACACGCACAGTGGTGACGCATGTCAGTCCAGACGTCGTCGCGCGGATCAGGAAGGTTGCCCAGACGCTCCGGGTCACGGCGTTCCATTTCTGGCTGGGCGCTTTCCAGACAATGCTGGGTCGGCTGCTGCAAGACCAGGAGGAGGAGCAGGATGATGGACAAACTCAGGCAACGCAGCGAGACCTGTGCATCGGCATCGTGGACGCCAACAGGTCCGATCAGACCTTTGCCAAGACGATCGGATATCTTCTCGAAGTCCTCCCTGTCAAGTTCACCGTAGACCGGGAGCAGAAATTCAGCAGCCTGCTACAAAATGTGCGGAGCAAGGCGTACGGCGCATTGGCCCGGAGCGGCGTGCCGCTCGAGGAAATCGTGCGGGCAGTCAGAACCATCAATGAGGGCGAAAACGGCGCTTCTGCCGCGGGAGCAACGCCGTTCATCCAGGTCGTCTTCAACTACCGCATGGGCGCGACGAAAGCTCCCGACCTCGTCGGTGACAACACTGCCTCCACGACGGCCAAGATGGACCTTCTCGACTACGCCGACGCCACCACGCCGTTCGACTTGTCCGTCTCGCTGGATGAAAAGGACGACGGGTCGGCGATGGTGACCTTTGCAATGCTCGACTACCTGTATGACGGTGCCGCGGCGGACGCCCTGGTAGGCAGCTACAAGTACATGGTCGACGTGCTATCGCGGCAGCCGTCGATGGTTGTCGGGGACGTGCCCCTTTTCTCGGACGCCATGGTGCAGGAGGCGGTTGTAGCCGGCACCGGGGCCTCTCTTCCTACGACTCCAGACGGGGCCGTCGGAGACAGCCTCACCACGGTATCGAGACGCATCACGCGCTGGGTTGAGCGCGATCCACAAGCCATCGCCGTCAAGGACAGCTCCGGCACACCGCGGACGTACCTCGAGATATTGCAGCGCGCCGACATCATCGCCGCGGCCCTGTTCCGGACGGCCGCCTCGTCCTCCTCGACAGCCAACCCCATCGGGCCCGGAAGCCTGATCTGCGTACTGACGGAGCCCAGCGCCGACACTGTGAGCTGCATCCTCGCGATCCTGAGGCTCGGCGCGACATATGTGCCCCTGGACGTGCGCAACGCGGACGAGAGGTTGGCGGATGTTCTCGACGAGTCCGGCGCGCGGATCGTCGTGTTCCACAACCAGACCAAGGAGCGTGCCATGAAGCTCCCACGGGACAAGCAGGGGGTGCGGTTCCTGAACCTGTCCATCCTGGACAACGACAACAACAACAACAACAACAACAACAACAAGGCAAATGCTACCGCCACGAAGCCCCGCGAGGATCTCTCCCGCCCGCAAGACACCGCCTTTGTCCTGTACACGTCCGGCTCGACAGGCAAGCCCAAGGGCATCGCGCTGACAAACGCCAACATGGCGGCCCAGAACGCCTCGGTCACACAACACCTCAGCATCGGCCGCGAGGTCGTGCTCCAGCAGAGCGGCCTCGGCTTCGACGCGTCCCTGTGCCAGATCTTCATGTGTCTGTGCAACGGCGGGACGCTGGTCATGGGAGACAACCGGAACCAGGACCCCGCGGAGCTGGCGGCCCTCGTGGCGCGCGAAGGGGTCACCTTTACGATCTGCATGATGAGCGAGATGGCGGCCATGTTGCGCCATGGACAGGAGCTTCTCAGGACGTGCACGGCCTGGCGGCTCGCCATGTGTGCGGGCGAGGCGTTCCCGCCCCGACTGGCAGAGGACTTTGCGGCCCTGGAGCTGCCGGGCCTGCAGGTTGTCAATGCGTACGGACCGACGGAGGGGACCATCATGGCGACGATCGAGAAGGTGGCGTATCGAGAGATGGCGAGGGATAAGAGTGAGAGAGTCTTGATCGGAGAGGTACGTTGCCCCCTCGTATTCAGAATGTTATAGAAGGCAGGTGTGACTAATCTCGACTACCCATGAGATCTAGGTCATCCCCGAGTATGGCGTCTACATTGTCGACCGGGCAGGAAACCCGCTGCCTCGCGGGCATGCAGGCGAGATTGCCCTAGCCGGACCGGGCGTTGCTTTGGGATACCTCCACAACCCCCAGCTCACATCTGACAAGTTTATCGTTGATACTATCTCGCATCTTGCCGTCCTGTCCGGCGGCAAGTCCACGCGCAGACCTGGCTGGCACCGCATGTACCGCACCGGCGACAAGGGCAGGCTCGTCGAGGGCAACAAGTTCCTCCATCTCGGGCGTATGGACGGCGACAGCCAAGTCAAGCTGCGCGGAATCCGGATTGAGCTGCAGGACATCCGGCACAGCCTACTCGCCACTTCGAAGGGCAGGTTGGCCGACGCAGCGATTGTGCTGCGAGGCACCGGAACGCAGGGGAATGAGTATCTCGCTGCTTTTGTGGTCTTTGCCAACCATGAGGACCACGGAGCCAACGACAATAAGCAGGCTTACCTCCGAGATCTCCTCCGCCAGCTTCCCTTGCCGCCGTACATGCGTCCTGCCGTGGCCGTGCCCCTAGATGGACTCCCCGTCACAGGTCGTGGAAAGCTCGACACCAAGCTGCTGGCGACCGTGCCGCTCGACAAGTACGGCCTCACCGGCTCCTCGGCAGACGAGGAACCCCTGACCGAGACCGAGCAGCGCCTTCGAGAAGTGTGGCAGCAAGTTCTCACAGACGCTGGGGTGGCCAAGGAGATCATGGCCATCAAGAAGGACTCGGACTTCTTCTCCGTGGGAGGCAACTCGCTGCTGCTCATGCAGCTCCGCGTGCAGATTCGCCGGGCATTTGACGGAGTGGATATCCCACTCATTCAGCTGTTTCAGAGCAGTGGCCTTGCAGCGCTGGCTGCTCGCATCACTGGGACTGCGGGAGGTCATGGTAAGGCAGAGATGATAGACTGGGTGAAGGAGACACAGCTTGACGAGGACGTCAAAGCAATTCTTCAAGACATCACTGCCAATAGCTCGACTGGGAAGGACAGCATCGAGAATCGACCGTCGGCATCTAGAGGGGTAGGCGTCCTCCTTACTGGCGCAACCGGCTTCTTGGGCAGCGCCCTCCTCTCCCGCCTGGCCTCTGACCCTCGTGTCTCCCGTATCCACTGCGTCGCTGTCCGAGGCGACCCTTCTCGGCTGACCTCTGCTCTCCCACTTTCCTCGAACTCCAAGATCATCCCGCACGAAGGCGATCTGGGCCTCCCCCGTATGGGCATGACTACATCCGAAGCAGCCTCCGTCATGGCCGACGTCGACGTCGTGATCCACAACGGCGCCACGGTATCCCATCTCAAGAGCTACCACACCCTGAAAGCAGCGAACCTGGGCTCGACCAAGGAGCTCGTGAGACTCGTCGTTGCGCAGGCCTCCACTCGTTTCCGGCAGCCAGGCGCCACAAAACTGAAGAAGAAGATATCCATCCACTACATCTCGACCGGCGGGATCGCCCGGCTCTCCGGCCTCGCACGGCAGCCCGAGGCATCCCTTGCCGCGTACCCGCCACCCGTAGACGGGGGTGATGGGTACGTCGCGACCAAGTGGGCCAGCGAGCGGCTCCTTGAGCGTCTGTACACGGTGGTAGCAACGTCTTCTTCGTCTTCGTCTTCGTCTTCTGCTTCTTCGTCTTCTGGAGGGTGGCCCGTCACAATCCACAGACCGAGCAGCATAACCAGCCGCGCCGACTTGTCCGCCGTGCCGGCCTCGGATATCACGCACAACGCGCTGCGGTATTCACAGATGCTGAAGGCCGTGCCGGATTTCAGCGGCGCAAGGGGCGCGTTTGACTTTATCGATGTGGAGACGATCGTGGGGAACATTGTGAATGATGTATTCAGCGCTGAACGCGCGGACAATGTCGTGTATAGACATCAGAGCGGGGAGACGGTCGTGCCTGCGGACGGGCTGGGGGGATACCTTGAACAACTAGACCGCGAGGACGACGGGGTCGGGGTGCAGCAGCACTTGGGAGGAGGAGGGTACAAGGTGCTGGGGATGGATGAGTGGGTCAAGCGCGCGGTCGAGGCCGGCATGGATCCGCTGGTTGGGAGCTTCCTTGCGGCCACGGAAGGGAAGCTCGATATGCCGCTTCTCATCAAGGGGGAGAAGGCGTGAACGGCATGGCCTGAATAACTACATTTTTGGTGTCGAGCATCTTCAACGGCGCCGGGGAAGTGTAGTCATTTTTTTTCCTGTGAAGTTTTCTTTGTCAGTACATCGTTTGGTAGTCGCGAGCCATCAACTATGTAGAAAAAGGAGCATCAGACATTTTGGGGGTTCCGCAGCGTGAGATTTCAATGTTACCGCGAGCGAAAGGCGTGATGCCGGGCAGGTTAATCTAGACAGCCATAAACTTGGAAGAATTGCTTCTTCTAATTTACGTCTATGCCTTCCACTCGTGGCGGACTCCAATCTTCCCGTCCTAACTTTGCAGATTGCGGAATTCAGTTATGCCCTATGTTTTGGTTTTCTTAACATGTGGGTGTCGTTGATAATGTTAGTATGTTTCAAATAGGGATTTATCCTAACTCTTGAGATATGGACATTTTGATGTCATAACACTAAAAGAGAGGAAGCTGAGTGGATAGTAACGCTCCCTTAAGGGTAGTTACTATGTAAGTCGATCTTAGTCCGGGGTAACTAGTAATAGGTATACACCCTGCAAGTCGACTTCGGCGTCGCCTTCGCTCCTGTAATTCCTTATCTCCTCCTGAAGCCATCGTCAACCCGTAAGTATTCTTCGTCGGGCGCGGCGTCGTCGCGCCGCAGACCGTGGATCGAACACGGGGCCTTCAGATTGCTATTACCGAAGTATTGACTTCAGTCTGACGCTCTCCCAGCTGAGCTATCCCCGCAGGCTTGTGATTTGTTTCCGACTCTTGTTCATCGACGGATATGTCAGAATTGCAACGACTGCCTTATGCACCTGGAACGAGCAGGAAGTCCTTCCGCGAAAAGGAGGGTGGCAGCCACATGTGGCCCTCCGCGTCACTCCGTTATGATGGGCTGGCGGCGCAGGAGCGGGATTGTGCAGATCGAGGGGAAGGGCGGAGGAAATGCCTATCGCCAGCCCGCGAGTCATGGGTTGCAATACGAAAATGGTCGAGCAACACATAGGGACGAGAAAACGTGGTAACAGCTTGCCAGGAGAACCCTTGGTGAGCTATGACATAATCAGTGAATACGAGGCAGCCCCGTAAATCCACTGAAATGAAGCTTCTTTGGCTCCCTCGAAACCCCAGCTCCCAGCACGTTCACAGTTAGCGTGCCAGTAAAGAGCAGGGGTCAGCCTCGTGAAGACATCGGGCATTGATCGTGTGGAGCCGCCAAGCCATTGAAATGACGTCCTGCCAAGGGTGGCCTGCACAGTCGTCAAATTTGACGTGCAACAGGCCATTAATGCAGGGGCTCTCCCGTTTTTGTTAAATGTCTATTATAGGGTTTCCTGAAATCCCATCGAGGATGTTGATAGTTCATCATCAACACCGGTCAAGGTCATCATCGCACACTCCCTCACCATGATACCCAACTACAAGCTTGCCGCTGTCCTGGCGGTCCTGCCGTCGCTCTCTGCGGCTACGCCAATCATCAGCGGCACGACCGCCACCGAGGGAGCCTTCCCCTTCCTCGTTAGCTTGTCCAACAACGGCAAGCACTTCTGCGGTGGCTCTCTGCTTAATGCCAACACCGTCCTGACCGCCGCCCACTGCTCCGTCTTCCAGAGCGTCACCAACGCCCGCGTCCGAGCCGGCAGCCTCGTATGTACTATGCTCACAAAGCGCAGATTGAATATTTGCCGTCAAGATAGCTAGCTGTGCAAGCAGAGCCATGCTAATCACCGTGGTACACGGGACTGGACCTCGGGGGGCGTTGAAGTCGGCATCTCAAGCATCCTTGTCAACCGGAATTACGGCTTATCCTCGAAAAACAATGATGTCGCATTGTGGTACCTTGACACGCCCATCCAGGCGGGCGCGGACATTGCTTACGCAACATTGCCCGCTGCCGGTTCCGACCCTGAGGCCGGCACAACCGTGACTGTTGCCAGGGCGACTCGGGCGGACCTGTCGTCGACGCGCAGTCCAAGACGCTCCTTGGGGTGGTGTCTTGGTCCGACGGGTGCGCTCAAGCTGGCAAGCCCGACGTGTATGCCCGTGTCGGGCAGTTTATCGACTGGATCAAGGAGAACACTGCATAGATTCATTGACGCTGAGATGGCACCCGGCTATTAGACAGAGACAGTGTGCAGCCACACAATTTAGGAAGTCGTCGAATCTAAAGAGAAGCGGCTGATCGTCGACTTGATATGCGTACAGGTATAACAAACTTGAGCCATACGCGACTATTGCGTGAGCATTTTCTCATCACTTCTCGGCAGGTTGTGAGGTGATAAACATGGCAACTGATGACTACTCGATTACGCCACATCACGATTCAATTCAATGCGATATTGGCAGATGTATGCTTGTTGAGACTTGCAAGACTGTACGTACTACTCGTAATGTATGCTTTCGGCCTGATGCGGACTCGTTTGCCAGACCTCTACTACCTGCGCAAGGCAGGTTTTTGGGTCATGAGATCAGCTGAGTTACTCATGTGTACGCTCGATACTACACGAAGAGAAGGAATGATTAGCTTACTACCAGAAGTGTTTTGATACTTTCCTAGGCGCTTATAGCGGGATAGGGCTATGCTGATTGGAAAGTATCACTTGAGGCCCGCCAACATCAGTCCATAGGACGAACCAGGGTGACGAAGGCTTGACCGTTTGTCTCCGCGGTCTCATCAGGAAAATGTGGCATGATCCAGATCGGAACGCGCTTATGGGCTGAGAATTGAGGTAATGCACTAACGGAAAAGCCGAGCCAAGTCATGCGCTGTTTTCCTAAGTATTACTTCTCTTTATTGAAAGAGTAGTTGTATGGGCTTCTGAGGGGCAATGCTTGTACCCCAAGGCTTGAACATCTATAACCAAAAGTGAAGAGTAAGTTCGCACGATATAATAACCCTCGACTCCTGCTCGAATACATTATATATACGATCGTTAAGGTTACTTTTACTGTAAATACCGAACAATACTGTCCTGGGGCAAGTGGGATCCGGTGATCATAGTAGTCCGCCTACCATAACCAGATGACCACCAAGTGCTGCCCAGTTGCGGCGGTGTTACCGCAGCTGATAGGTGGTCCGCGGTGAAGGTATCGCAGGCCATCAGGCACCGAAGGCGCCTTTTGACAATGGGAGAGCCAGCACCACCACCAAGGTATTTAGTGGGATGCAATTGGGAGGAATGGAATGATCACCGTGTTCCTCAATTGGGGACCAAAAATGGGGAGAAAATCAATCGAATTGACGAGGATACGAAAAAGCAGTCGCTGCCACCTTCAAGGTGCTGTCTGTGTTCGATGATGTCTATGTACAAGAAAAACCACCACGACCTCTAAGGAATTTAAGTACCCTGGCACCTGGAACCTCCTGATCTGGTTGCTGCCACCCTGCACGGTCACAGTAGCTCGTCGGATCAGCCCTAAGCTGTGCATAGGTGCTTTGTACGAAATATTCGTACTCCGTAGTTAGGTTATTTAAAACCCAGGCTACAACCATTTCCTTTGGAATAGAGATCTTGAGATATTCAAGATCTCTGATCTGCTGGCTGATGAAATTTAAAAAAAATCATCCATTTTATCAAAGTCCTGAAGTTCAGAATCAAATAGAGCCTTTATTATCAGGTACAGTGAATTTACTCCAGCTTTGCTACATGCCCCTTCTATAGCGTCCCAAGCGATTTTTGCAGATTTTGTATTTTCTACAAACTGGGCAAATTTACGCCCAACACTAAATGCTATTTGTCACGATCCGACCTCCGGGGTCAACCGTCTGGCCGGGCTTCGGGGTTGCTGTTCTGCGAAGTAGGTAAAGCTCAAGCAATATCACAACTGATCGAATGTCGTTCTCTCTCTGGGGTTGTCGTGTCTCTGGGAAGAGATACCAGTCTCGGCAATTGAGTGACTAGTTCAAGAGTGGGTGAGAATGGTACTTAGATTGATCGCTGAAGTACAAAGGTAGTGACTGTCTGGTCAAGGAAATCCTCCAAGCTATATAGACCTTTGTCCTTCATCGTGGCTTGTGTGGTCATTCCTTTCTGCACGACGGTCATGTCTTTGATGGTGACGGTCATGCTTGGCGGAGTGACGGTCATGCAGACACGCATGACCAGTGGTACGGTACCCGGTCCTTACCCTTATCGTGATCCTTGTCCGTGATTACATAAGAAACCTGTGACGGTGCTGCCACATGATCCGCCCTTGTCCCTGGCCTGATCCTGCGGCCTAGTTGTTTGTGCTCTTTCTTGCCCAAACAATCGCCCCCTGTTGGTCTGGTCGTCACACTATTATAGAGTAGGCAAGGGCGTTCTCTTTTTTATCTAACTCCAAGTAGGAAGAATTAAAGAGAGCTTGTTGGCAGTCTTTCTGAAGGCACCGAGCCTTGACTTGCATAGCCCAGTAGCGATAGTCTTCAGAAGTCTGAAGCTTTTCAACGCCGCTCTTTTCAGAGGACATTTTTGCAACAGGGAAGACCTGAATTCTCTATATACGTATATACAGAGGTTGCAAACCGAAATCGGCTTGTCTGAGTGCACAATGGGCTACAGGGTAGTCCCAAAAGTGTCTAACTTGAACAACGGTCTAAATTGGGCCACTGTACGTCGAGATATTCGACGTTGAAGTGTTGGTCGTGTGAAAGTGCAACCACAAGGTAATTGCAAGAGATGCAAAACCAGTGATTTCTCGGCGAGGAAAAGAGCTTTGACCAAACGGAAATAAGCTCAAGAATCTTCGAGAAAAAAAGGTTCGAATGAAGGTCGAAGCCGTCGGATCGGAGCAAAAGGTCCGGAGGAATCGCAGAGTGACAATTGGAAAGTCACTGAGTGTTTTCGTTGTTTTGAGACGGGGAATGCGGCCGTGCAAAATTGGTGATTTTCCTCGGAATCGTCGTCAAAAAATGCAACAGAATGATGGTCCTTGAGGCGGAATCGAAGAGGTGACCTCTGTGTCGAACTTTCGAGGTGTGGGAGACTGATCTAAGACCGAAGGTGGGTCGAAGAGTGGGTCTCGGAATCGATGATTGGTCGATGTGGGGTCGAAGTTGGAGGTCAAACCAATGACGTGTAAACTTCAGAATTGGACCCACACCAGAATTCAGCTCGTGTAACAGCTTGGAAGTCTAATGCAATAGAGTTGTTTTCGATGATTGTGAGAGAACGAGAACAGATGTGGGCGATCTGAAATGTTTGTGTGGTGCGTCTCAAAGTGAGGTTTTCTCGTGATATCGAGTTGGACTCAGTTGGACGCAGGATGACCGAGATATCGTTGAAAAACGATGTTGGAGATATAATCGCAGAGGATCCGTAGATGTTTGGAGGACGAATGCGGACGCGACAGTTGAGATATGAGAAATCCGATGGTATTGTCGGATTCTGCTCGTCGAGACGAACTGGGAGGTGTTCGGTTTTATTGACGACGGTTATCGGATCGTGAGGAAACGATAGAAACGTAGTTTCGGAGTGCGATCCGGGCTCATAACCTGTAAGGATACGGTCATATATGAGCGGGACACGATGAGGAATGGTGAAGACGAAGATGCAGTATATTGTGTACTCCTTGTAAGTGCAGAAGTGAGTGATGATCAGTAGTGAATCTACTGGCGGAAGGCCTGGAGATTCCTGGTTATGTGGAGATTGCTTGCACTTGTGACTAAGCCCTGGTACATGCATATATCTCTATAAAAGCATATATCTTTAGAGTCTTGGACTAGGGCTTAGGGTATGTAAATGGAGCTTGGGAAACTCTCCCTT